AGTAATTTAATGAAGCACCTTATGCTCCTTGAAAAAGAGCAACAAGCTAAACCCAACCCAATAGACAGAAAGAAATAATTAAAATTACATCAGAATTAAATGAATTAGAACCCAAAATCACCACAAAAAGAATCAACAAAACAAAGAGCTGGTTCTTAAAAAAAATATCAAAATTGACAGACCCTTAGCAAATCTTCTCAGAAAAAGAAGAGAACATACCCAAATAAACAAACTCAGAGATGAGAATGGAAACATCACCACAAAAACAACCAAGATTCAGGACATTATAAGGGAATACTTCTCAAACCTTTATGATAAGTTTGAGAACTTAGAAAGTGGAAAGACCTCCCATGCTCCTGGATTGGAAAGGTCAACATCGTGAAAAGTGCAATACTTCCCAAGGCTATCTACAAATTCGATGTGATACCTATCAATATTCCAATCTCATTCTTCAAGGACATAGAAGAAGCAACCAAAAATTCATATGGAACCAAAAAAGACCCCAAATAGCAAAAACAATCCTTAACAGAAAGAACAGTGCTGGAGGAATATCAATACCAAATTTCAAACTCTACTACAAAGCCATAGTAATCAAAACAGCTTAGAATGGGCACAAGAACAGACCTTAGGACCAAAGGAATAGAATTGAAAACCTAGAAATGAACCCACAGACCTATAGCTACCTAATCTTCGATAAGAGAGCTAAAAAAATTGAATTGAAGAAAGACAGCCTCTTCAGTAAATGGTGCTAGCAAAATTAGTTAATCACCTGTAGAAAACTACAGCTAGATCCTTATATATCACCCTGCACCAGAATCAACTCCAAATGGATCAAAGACCTCAGAGTCAAAGCAGACACCCTGAAAACATTACAGAAAGGAATAGGAGAAACCCTAGTTCTTCTTGGCACAGGCTAAAATTTTCTTAATAGAGACCCAGAAACAACAAATCAAAGAAAAGTTGGACAAATGGAATTGCATGAAGCTGCAGAGCTTCTGCATGGCAAAGGACATAGCTAGCAAGATCAATAGAAGCCCACAGATTGGGAGAAGATCTTCACTAGCCATACAATGGCTAGTGAACTCAAAAAATTAATACCCCCAACAACAAATCCTCAAAGAAACAACTGCCCGATAAATAAGTGGGCTAAAGACTTAAAGGAAACTTCTCTGAAGAGGAAATAAGAATGGCCAATAGACACATGAAGAAATGCTCAACCTCTCTAGCCATAAAAGAAATGCAAATCAAAACAACATTCAGATTCCACCTCACCCCAGTTAGAATGGCTACAATCAAGAAATTTAATAACAACAGATGTTGCAGGGCATGTGGCCAGAAGGGAACCCTACTTGGTGGGAGTGTTAACTTGTTCAACCACTTTGGAAAGCAGTATGGGAGTTCCTTAAAAGACCACACATAGAGCTCCCCTATGACCCAGCAATCCTACTTTTGGGCATTTACCCAATGATCACAAACAAGACCATACTAAAGCTACCAGCACAACTATGTTTACTGCAGTATTATTTACCATAGCTAAGATATGGAACCAACTGAGATGCCCCCCAGTAGATGAATGGATCAAGAAAATGTGGTATATAGATATACAATGGAATTCTATGCCTCCATCAGAAAGAATGACATTGTCCCATTTCTTAGGAAATGAAAAGACTTGAAAAAATTATATTAAGTAAGCCAGGCCCAAAGAAACACAGGTCTTATGGTTTCCCTGATTTGTAATAACTAGTATTTGTCTGGGACAAGCAGAAAAGATCAAATGCTATGGTACATATGACCAGATAAGATGATGTTAAGCAAAATGAACCCCACGATAGGGGCACAAGTGGTTTTTTTTCTTTCTTGCTATTGTTTCTAATGTATTTATAAGGTACCATGTGACTTTTTGTTGCTTTGTATGTCCCTCCCCCACAGTATAACCCATGTTCACTGTATTTGATGATAATTTGGGGAGGGAAAGGGAAAAAACAAAATGTTTAAATAGGGATACAGGTTGACCCATTGTAACAATGAGATGCAAGACACTGTTGAACAACGAACTTTACAATTTAGGCCAGGGGTGTGGGGGGGGAGTGTAGTTGTGGAGGTGGGAGGGAAGGGATGGTAGGGGAAAAACAAAGGAGAAGGCAACAATGCTTGATAAGAAATGTACTCATTACCTTGCTCATGTAACTGTAACCCCTCTGTACAGTATTTGCACAATAAAAAACTTTGTATAAAAAGAGTAACTGGTAAACTTCTTTAGCTATGGATTTAAAAAATCTAACCAAATACCAAAGTATACTGCACAACTCCCCTTTACTACTTTCATCTTCTTTGAGAAACACTCTTCTTTTGAATGCCTAGAATATAAACACAATCATGGCTGTACAACTTTTCCATTCTTGGATTGTATCTTAAAGAACTGTACACTTGGGCTAGGTGCCGGTGGCTCACACCTGTGATCCTAGCTACTCAGGAGGCTGAGATCTGAGGATCATAATTCAAAGCCAGCCGGGACAGGAATGTCTGTGACTCTTATCTCCAATTAACCATCAGAAAACTGGAAGTGGCACTGTGGCTCAAGTGGTAGAGAGCTTGCCTTGAGCTGGAAGAGCTCAGGGACAATGCCCAGGCCCAGAATTCAAGCCCCACAGCCAACAACAACAACAACAACAACAACAACAACAAAAGAATTACATACTTGGAAGATGGAAGGGGGAAAGAATTTCAGAGTTTGGCGTATTACACATAATTGTCCATTGCAAATAGCTGTAGAATTAATGCCTCCATTACTGACTCTGACTCTCATTGGTGTCTCACTTACATCCCTACAACCACTGTCATGAAAATTCCCTCCACCCTCTCCCAGCAGCAGACTGCCCTTGGTCATCTTCTCATGTCATGATGCCATGCAATCTGTCTAGGCTCCATTTACCTCGGGAAGCTGCTATTTCCCAGTCTAGAAATTCAGCCTGAAAAATCTTTCCTTACTCCTATTTTGTATATCCAAAAGTCTACCAACCATTAATAGGTTAATGTCTCACTAGTATTTTAAATTCTCACATAAAAGGTTGAAACCACCTTGATATCCAAACCCGCTCTTTTTGCCCTCTTTCTGAATAACCCAGCATCAAAACTCTTAAGTGTTATCCCTGTTACCCTGTACTTTAATAAATTCAAAATAGTTCAAAGACCTCAATGAAGACCTGAAACCTTAAAACTACTACAGGAAAAAGAGAAACATAACTTATTGGAATAGGCAGAAACTTCCTGAGTAGAATTCCAAGAACTCAGCAAATAGAAATAATTGACAAATGGGATCGCATCAAACTAAAATTTCTGCAGTGAAAGACATAGTTCCTAAGCTAAAAAGACAGCCTGCAGAATAGAAGATCTCTGCCAGCTATACATCTGACAAAGCCCTAATATCCAAAATATACAGAGTTCAAGAAAATAAAAGTTCAAAGAATCAATAATACAATTAATTAATGGGCAAAGAAACTAAATAGAGACTTCTCAGAGATGTAAACATGACCAAAAAACTCATGAGGAAATGTTCAACATCTCTGGCCATAAAGGAAATGCAAATCAAAATTACACCGAGATTCCATCTTATCCAAGTAGGACTGGCCATCAACAAGGATACAAACAATAGATGTTGGCAGGGATGTGGAGAAAGAGGAACCCTATTACAGTTAGTGGAAATATAAACTAATGCAACTACTTTGGAACTACTAAAACACAGAACTACTCTATGAGCCAGGAACACAATTTTTGGGCATTTATCCAAAAGATTCCAAGTCAAGAAATGGTTAGAGAAACAGCCCAGAAGCCCTACAATAGACAAATAGATCAAGAAAATGTGCCAGATATAAAAAATTATGGATATTATATATTATATAAAATATAGATATTACATATTATATAACTATATATTATATAATATATTACCTAAATATATATTAAGTAAATATACCATATAATTGAATTTTACTTATCCACAGGAAGAATTTGTTATTTACAGGGAAAAATGCATAGACTTAAAAAAAAACTGTATTAAATAAGTCAAACTCAGAGACGTAAAGGGTACATTTTTCCCTCTCATATGTGGAAGTTAGAACTAAATTATAACCATACGTAAAAACATATGCAGGCTACATGAAGAATGCAGGGGGGAGATATTTTACACTATTATCTTTTTTATATCCTTGGAATTTTGACTCATGTATGTATATTGCACATGCATTGAAATCAAATTACACTTAACTTTAAAAAAAAAAAAAAGCAAGTTTTCAGTTAACAGGACTTAAATTGTATGTTGAGTACCCTTATCCAAAATTCTTGGAACTAAAAATGCTACAGAGTTCTGAACACTTGAGCATGGAAACAAAGTATAAACATGAAATTCATTTTTTAATACACGCTCTTTTCACATAGCCTAAGGGGAATTTTATACAATATTCTAATGAATCTTCATCTAACTACAGCCCGTCATGTGAAAGGTGAAATTTTCCTCTATTGATATCATGTCAAGTTAAATTCATGTCTAGATTTTCAGATTTGATTTTTTTTTTTGGGTCCGTTCGTGGGGCCTGCACTCTGGGCTTGGGTGCTGTCCCTCAGCTCGTCAGCTCAAGGCTAGTGCTCTACCACTTGAGCCACAACGCCACTTCTGGCTTTTTTCTTTTTGCTTATGTGGTGCTGAGGAATCGAACCCAAGCCTCATGCATGCAAGGCAAGCACTCTACCACTGAGCCACCTTCCCAGCCCTAGATTTTCAGATTTGAGATTCAACCTATCTTTCAATTTTAGGGAAAGCTGAAAATGTGATGTATTTTTAAAACATACCTATGTATAACTTAATCTTAAAAAGTAATCCTCAGACAGCAAACATGTCCAAGAATGACAGAATATTGAGGTTACTGAATTAACAAGAAGACAGGAAAATGAGAACTTTACATCAGGTTCACTATGAAAATTTATGTAGATAAAATTTTACTTACTTTTTTAAACATAACTAGTGAGATGACTGCTGATGCTGTGAAAAGTGCAGCTATGATTATCATCATGATTCCAACAGGAATATTTTTGTTGAGACCAGTAAGGGATGAAATCCAACCACTAAAAACGATAAAAGGGAAAGTGTAATTTTAGGCAAGTAAGTTAAGCACACTTTACAAAAATACCTAACTCATACCAGCACTTATGGGGCAAGTCCTTTATATGCATTAAACTTAACTCTTACAACCACGCCATAAAGACAAGGATTTGTTCCCCAAGTAACACAGCTAATAAATGGATCAGATTGAATTAGAATTACAACATTTTCTGAATTATAGAAGAAAGGACTTGCAAAAATCCCATGTTCAACAACATATTTGTTTTTAGAACACAAAGATACTTTGAAGCCCAACAATACAAAAAATACACGTAGAAAATGGGCATAGAGACATGAGATATTTCAGTAAGACACAAACATGACAGAAAAAGATAGGCAATAGCATCAGTCATTAGGAAAATGCAAATTCAAGTCTCAGTGAGATATCAATGCACACACCTAGCCAAATGGCTAAAATAAAAAATAGTGACAATAGTATGCAAAAAGGTGGAGGCTAAATCACATACAACTATTAGAGGGAATACAAAACAGTATGGCATTCTAGAAAACAATCTTGTCAGTTCCTTAAAAAAAGGAAACACAAAACAACCAATCTTTTTTATCCCATAGAAATGAAACTTAGGTTCACATGAAAATGTTCCCAAGAACACTCGTAACAGCTTTATTCATAACAGCTCCAAACAAGAATCCAGATGTTCTTCAACTAGTGAAAAGGTGGGACAGCATTATCATGGAACTGTGCTCAAGAGTAGAAATAAACTACAAGTACATGTTACAACCTGGTTCAAACTGGAGAATTTGCTGGGTACAAAAGTTAGCAGTGCATGTTATATGATTTATATAAGTTTCTTATAAAGACACAATAACTAAAACGACAAACAGGCTAAGGAAGGAGTGGACAGGAGAATCCCCGCTATCCTGTGAGTGGGGCTGCAACATGAGGAATCTTCTGGTGATGGAAATGTTCCCTTATCATGTCTACCATCAAAGTCCTAGTTTTCCTATTTCATAGCACTGAAGGAAGCTGGGATCTCAATGTCTGTAATTCTTACAACTATCTGTAAATCTATAATTACCTCAAGATAAATTTCAATCAATTAAAGTATCTTAATTATACAATGTCTATTTCAAAAGAGGTTATCCTATATGTGCCCTCGCTAAGACTCTTCTGAGCTAGAAAAGTCATTCCTTCTCATTACAGTGTGTTATTCTATTCTATTAATTGGAAACTGGAGAGTCTCACAGACTTTCCTGCTCAGGCTGGCTTCAAACCATGATCATCATTCCTCAGCCTCCTGAGTAGCTTAGCACTCCTGGTTAGTGTTTTGCTTTTTTTAAGGAACTGACAGATTGTTTTCTAGAATGCCATAATGTTTTATATTCCCTCTAATAGCTGTATGTGATTTAGCCTCCATGCTCTTAAGTTCAATTTTGACATTTTCCTCATCTGTTTTAAAAAACAGAAATCAACAATGGTCGATAGGAAATGGGCTTATTACCTTGCTCATGTAACTGTAACCCCTCAGTACAGTATCTTTACAATAAAAATATATATTTAAAAAAGACAGAAATAATTTTCTCAAGGATTTTAAAAAGTGTGCTATTAAAGCAGTTTATGTTTTGAATATTTAAAGCAATACTTGCCATCAAATACCAAAAAATGACTTAAATAATAAAAACTACTTTTTCCGAGAAATAGTTTTAATTATCTATATAAATTCTCTGTGAATATATATGCTCATTATATAAAACTACTAAGAGCTGCCAGATAGCCAATCACTACTACAATTTGGAGACAGCATATGAAATTGAAAGTCCTCAGATTCTCTAGTTACATGCTCATTCAACTTCAGTACACGGACACATTGCAAAAAGTTGTAGCATACAAAGACTGGTCTGTAGCTCATTTAAAAAAAGAATGGATGGACTGGATCAGACAGTCGTAGAGATGTGTACAACGCCACTCCCCATTTCTCTATAGGAGTGTTTGCTCCAGAATACAACAAGAATCGTAAATCAGCCCTGGTGTTTCTGAAGGACCCCAGTGTGTTAGTGTCCCATGTGGTGAGAGCAATTCCCTTTATTTAAAGATGTATGGATGTGTGTGTAGTCATTCCACTTCTCAAAGACAAGTATGTTGTGTGCATGAAAATGTGTGTATACTAAAATAGTATTTAACATATAGTATATACCATTCCCTTCAGATCCTCCACAGTGTTTTCTCTCCCATAATCACTGGGACTCCCATCTCTCCAACTACTCTGTAGCCTCCTATGCATCTTCTTTTAAAGTGTATTTTAATAAAAATGTGTATTATTTAAACTAGGTATAATGTACTTCTTTAAAAATGAGAATGTAGGGGCTGGGAAGGTGGCTCAGTGGTAGAGCACTTGCCTTGCATGCATGAGGCCCTGGGTTCGATTCCTCAGCACCATATCAGCAGAAAAAGCTGGAAGTGGTGCTGTGGCTCAAGTGGTAAGCACTAGCCTTGAGCTGAAGAGCTGAGGGACAGTGCCCAGGCCCAGAGTTCAGGCCTCATACCAACAAAAAAAAAATGAGAATGTAATCTTTAAAGAGAATACATATACATATGTATGTACACACATTTATATGTAGACATATACACACATACACACACACACACACACCCATAAATCTTAGGACATTTGAAAATTGTATGTTTAACCATTTTTTGCTTTGGCTGGTGTGTGTATGTAGGAGTCTTGTACTCTCAGCTCGACTTTCTATGTAGAGCTTGCATTCTGCCACTTGAGCCATATCTCCAGGCCAACATTTACTTTGTTTACTGGATCTGTAATTTCCCAGACTGGCTTTGAACTAGAGTCATCAGATCTCAGTCTACTAAATAGCTAGGATAATAGAATAAGCCAATGGCACCCAGCTAATACTGTGTTTTAAAAATATGAGTTGACTACATTAAGACAACAATTTATACAAATATTAAGTTAATAGTGTTAACTTACCAATTGCCCCAATTATGAAATCCTGCAGCCTGAAGCACATGTACAGCAAACTGACAGATATAGACGAAGAAGAATACAAAGAATCTGAATGAACTGTCACTCCTTTGGGAAGGGCGGAGGGCAGGGAGAAAAAAAGGGAGGGTGAGGGGAAGAGGAATAGGGAGAAGGAGAAGGAGAGAAAAAAAAAAAACAGGACCAAAGAAAAAAAGGAAAATGTCAGTTTTCTCATTCTTTTACATTCACATGTAGACTAACATTTAAACCTTAAAAAAATTGCAACTATCTGAGGCTGAAAATTAAAACAGAAGTACTTGTGACCTCTAATGCAAATACTCAATATTCTTCAATTTTACATTGTCCTTTCAATTTCCAAATACATCATAATTCACCTTGACAAAAGAGCTTGTCTTTGTATAAATAATATTTTATAATTATAATTGCCATACAATAAACCATAAACATTGCCAAACACAGTATTGACAAAAAACTACAACTAGTTAAGTACAAACCTGGATCTTTACCCAAGGAATACTATGAACAACTTCAAACACTTTCTTCGGACTCTTACTTCTTCTCTTCCCTACTTCACTCACAGCTTTCTGTCATTAAGGTTGGCCTCTTAATAGTTTATAGTAATGGAATATTTTATTTTCTGATGAGGAAGCAAGGTCTGACTTCCTCCACTCAATACATTTATTCTAAGATTCAACCATATAGTGGCATTTACCAAAAAAATCATTCCTTCTCATTACAGTGTGTTATTCTATTAATTGGAAAACTGGAGAGTCTCATAGACTTCCTTCTCAGGCTGGCTTCAAACCATGATCATCATACCTCAGCCTCCTGAGTAACTATTCATTCACTTTTTTTTCCCCCAGAATTTTAAATATTTACTTATTTATTATTTTATTTTTTTATTGTGAAAATACTGTACAGAGGGGTTACAATTACATGGGCATATTCATTCACTTTTTAATGATTGTTTCCCAATTTTTAGCACTATAAAGATGCTATGAGCTTGTACACATGAGTTTTTATATATTTCATATGAACATTTATTTCCTTCTCTCTTAATATCTCCAAGGGGGATGACTAGAACACATGACAGATCTTAATCATTTTAAGAAACTGACAAATTATTTTATTAAGTTGCTTCATTTTATATTTCTACTGGCAATGTGAGTATTTCAGTGCTTCCGTTTTATATTAATACTTGGTATTTTAGTGAATCTTGGTATGGTCACTCTTTTTAATTCTAGCCTAATATTAGAATCCATTTCTAATAAACAACTGTTTAAATATTAGAATATCTGAATAAGTGTGATGGTAAATCTTGTCAGCTGAGGATTGTCAATCTTGTCTGTGGACTAGCCTGAGGAACAGGTAGGAGATTCACAAGGCAAACCTCTATCTGTGAGAGCATTTCCAGAGAGGAATGGATCATGAGGGCTTAATCCACTGAACTTTGTGAACCCCTTTGAAGCTCCACTTCCAGCTTTTCTGTTGGTTAATTGAAGATAAAAATCTCACAGGCATTCCTGCCCCAGCTAGCTTCCAACTGTGATCCTCAGATCTGATAGATAAAAATTTCAAATAGACTATGTCAAGATAGTGGAACTGTGAAAGGAAGCTGTCTTTATCTTACCCAGACTCCTCCCTGCTCCCTGTTCAACATGACTCGACCTGCTGTAAAATCCTCCTGATGATGATGGACTGAAACCTCAGAAACTGCGATCAAAATAAGTCTTTCCTCCTTTTGAATTGTTCTGTCAAGTATTTTTGCCATAGCAATGTGAAAGCTAACAGTATAGTAGTATCCTTTTTTTATTTTAACTTGCATTTTCCTGTTTAGTAACACTGTAAGCATCTTTTCACGTCGTCTACAGATCTTATTGGTAGACTGTTTATTAAAATCAATTTCTGAAAAGTTTCCCTTATTTTTGAGTTTTAAGGTTTAAGTGTATATGTACACACACACCTTTATGAGATATATGCATGCCAAAGATTTTACCCCAGTTTGTGGCTTATTTTTGCAATATGTGCATATGTATAAAAATATAATTTTAGAGTACATTAGAAGTGATTTTAAGCTTTCATTTTATGAATTCTAGTTTGGTCTCTTACAAATCTTTATTTTATTGTTTTCCATAAAAAGTATTTGCTAAAACAAAGGAAACAGATTTTTCTGTTTCCTTCTAGAACTTTTTTATTTTTGAATTTTATAATTACCTATGCCTTTTAAGCTGGTTTAAAAAATACAGATAGATTCTTTTTGAAATATGGATATCTAATTGTTCCAGCATCATTTCTTAAAAATAGTTACCTGCATTTAGTTGCTTTTATAACCTCAACAACCAGCACTCCATATATAGGCAGCTTTATTTTTATTTCTATTTTGTCCTACTGTTCATTTTGTCTACATTTACATTCTAAACCTAGTATATTTCCATATGCCCTTAGAATCACCTGTTCATACTTCTACAAAACAACTTGCTGGGATTTTGAGATTACACTACAAATCTACTAATTCTTTTAAAGAGAATACATGTCATAACAGTGCCTCTTCTAATATATGAAAAAAGTGTTAACTCTCCATTTATATTTTCTGCATAAATGATCATGGATCTTTGAATGAAGACAGTTTTATTTCTTCCTTTTAACCTGGATGCCTTTTATTTCTTTTTCTCGTTTGATTTTACTGACCAGAACATCCAACAAATCCTTGAATACAAATGGAAAGAATGTGTTCTCCATCTTTAACCACAGGATATGATTTATCTAGGGATTCCAGTCTTTTTTATTTTAATTTTTCATTAAGTAGTTGTAAAGGAGCTTCAATTAAGTAGGTTATGAGTACAATGCATCCTAATCAATGTTGCTCCATCATTCTCCCATATTTTTCCCTTGCCATCCCTACCCTCAAGTTATATAATTCAATTTTTATATAATGTACATTGAATATATGTCTATAATTGACTGTATTTTTACATAATTGCATTTGCTCACCCATCTGCTCTCTACCTGTGTGCCCTCCCCGCCCCCCACAGAACATGTTTCTACTTCCTGGTATCCATTTTGTTAAATGGTTTATTAGTTGTTCTGAAAAGTTACACCATTAGACTCCTTTTTTAGATGCTCTTTATCAGATGCCTTTTATTTAAAATAGTAGGGGACTTCTATTCCAAATATTTATTCCATAGTTTGTTGTTTTCCCATGTATGTGTGCTGGTCCTGGCGCTGGGCACTGTGCCTGAGGTTTTTTGCACAAGGCCAGTGCTGTACCACTTGAACCACAGCTCTGCTTCCAGCTTTTTTGGTAGTTAATTGGAGATAAAAATCTCACAGGCTATCCCCAGCTAGCTTCAAAACGTGATCCTCAGCTCATAGCCTCCTTGGTATCTAGGATTACAGGTGTGAGCCACGGGCAGCCCACTATTCAGTGTTTTTAATATAAACTTACTACGTTAGATTCTGTCAATGTTTTAGCTTCATCTATTAAGAAGATTTTATAGTTTGTGTTTTTTTTAATCTTTATAATATGGTGAATTATCATTAAAACCAATTTTTGTATGTAGTTGTGCTGTCCATACCTGTAATTTCAAAACTCAAGAGCCTGAGGCAGGAAGAGCAAGTTCAAGCACAGCCTGCCTCAAAAAAACCAAACACCAAAACAAACAAACAAACAAACAAACCCACTTAAATTTCTAAAAGTTCCCCTCACTTGTTAAGACTGACTAAATTTTCAACGTTCTGAAATCAGCCCAATTCAGTTCAATACAGTGATTATTTCAAGGCTTTTTACATTTTGGTTATTCAACATCAGCATAAAACTCTGTTTATCAAGAGGAAAACACCAGCCAGAGTAATACATTCCCTAACTACCCATTCAGATGCAGTTTCTAGCTCACAGATATATGTCTAGAAACCTTGCTCCTACTACTCTGTGAAGAGTTAGTGTCTATCCTTTCAAAGCTAATACTTGCATAGAAACCTTTAACTTATTTCTTATGTTTCTCATGGAGCAGCCACTTCAACTTCTACTATTCTCTGCTCTGAAGAGTCTTCATCACTGCCACTGGCTTGCTCCCCCTAACACTCTATCTCCCTTTGTTCCGTCAGTAACAAAAACCTTGAAAGAGTGGTGTACCATTGATTTCTCTTCTCATGGGCTTCTCAACCCCACTGTAACCTAGCTTCTCCACCTACTTCAGGTGTGTTTCAAAGTCATGGAAAAAAAAATCTCTGTCTCTATTTTTTTATGGCTTTCGACCATGAAGGGGATCCTTTTCAATCCCTCATTGTGTCCCTAGCTTGTACCACTTTACAGACAAAAGACTACTGTCTTCAGATGGCATGATCCTATAATCTACAGGACTCCACAGACCACCCTCAAGCTTCCAGAGCTTATAAACGTCTCTGGCAATGTAGCCGGATATGAAGTAATGCCAAAATCAGTAGCTTTCCTGTATATACACAATGAGCTAGATGAGAGAGAAATTAAGAGAAAAATTCTGCTCATATTAGCCTTAAAACAATAAAATAATTAGAAATAAACCTAATCAAGAAGTGAAGGATTTCTCCATTTAAAACTATAAAACCATGAAGAGAACAACAGAAGGTAGAAAGGCCTCCCATGTTCATAGGCTGGCAAAATGCTGTGAAAAGTGGTTATACTACCAAAGGCAACCTTCAAATTCAATGCAATACTCATCAAAATCTCCACGTCACTCCTCACAGAGATAGAGAAATCAATCCAAAAATTCATATGAAAGCACAAAAGGTCCCAAAAACCAAAGCAATTCTTAGCCAAAAAAAAAAAAAGTAATGCTGGAGGTATCTAAACTATTTACAGACCTTAAAATATACTATAGATTCTCAGTAACAAAACCAGGATGATACTGGCACAAAAACAAACCTGAAGACCAAGGGAACAGACTAGGAAAACCCACTGTGGGTGGAGTGGGAATAGGCAAGCAGGGCACCAGGCTCACACCTGTAACCCTAGTTACTGGGGAGCCTGAGATCTGAGGATCACAGTTGAAAGCCAGCTGGGACAGAAAGCCTGTGAGACTCTTATTTCCACTAAATTACCAAAAAAAAAA